CACCTTCACACACGTCGTCAAATGTCACTATGTCACCCTCACACACGTCGATAAATGTCACGTCACCCTCACACACAGTCGTTAAATATTACTATGGATCACCAGTTGTCACCAGTTTTGACAAGATTCCAGCCTTTAAATAAAGATTCAATTATCTGTCCCATCTTGCTCCAAATTTGATTTGTAAAACCGACCCTACTTTATATCTGGATTTTTGGAAGTCATCCCCCCCTCCCTCTGGATCAGGTAGTTTAAATTAATTTTGTACACAGTTCCCATGAACATCTGTGATGGTTTGAAATAAAGTTGTTGACACTGAACCAGGGATCAATATTAAATCATTAAAAACTTCAACAGATGAGCCCTATTATTCTGTTAACAGATGTTTTGGCAATAATTTAAACGAGCTGTTTTGGCCAGATGTTTTGGCCATGAGCTGAGCGATGCGCTAGTCTTCTGCCGTCTCAAGATGCGCTGTTTCCTGTAAAGTTCGCGATTTAGTAGATGTCCCATTGTGTGCTGTTTTACTGTCTTAATTTAAAATAGTTTAACCCAAGACCTGTCGCTCTCTTAGGTGAAGTTTATTAAAAGTTGTAGTGTGATTATGTAAAATTATAGTTACAGCTAAAAATATCTGGGAATAATTTAGGGTATGGGAGATAACACGAGTTTTTAGTTTATCAAGGCAGGCGTCATGATGTTTACAGTTCAGCAAGGGTTAAAGACAAAAAGTCATGTCTGTTTTTACACGAAACAAATTGATGTCCAATTATTAGCGTTCCAGTTCCAGCAGTTCCTCCTTTTGATAACCAGGTGAATTAAAATAGTGATTACACCCCCCCCCCCAGCACCCAACTTTAGGTATGTAAACATCGGGTTAAAGATCCACCTTTAGGTATGTAAACATTGGGTTGTAGAAAAACCTTTAGGTATGTAAACAGCGGGTTGTGGACCCACCTTTAGGTATGTAAACAGCGGGTTGTAGACCCACCTTTAGGTATGTAAACAGCGGGTTGTGGACCCACCTTTAGGTATGTAAGCAGCGGGTGCTCCTGGGACCCACCTTTAGGTATGTAAACAGAATGTTGTGGACCCACCTTTAGGTATGTAAACAGCGGGTTGTGGACCCACCTTTAGGTATGTAAACAGCGGGTGCTCCTGTGGCCCATTGACGTCTATCTTCTCGAAGATCTGGAAGTTGGGGACGAAACCACCCCCCGGGCGAACGTACTTGACCCCGTTCATGATTTCTGTACCGTTGGCTCCTGGCTCTTGCTGAAACAGATGGTATGAGACTTCGTCAAGCTGGGTGGATGGGTGGAGAGATGGGTGGATGGGTGGAGAGATGAGTGGAGAAATGGGTGGATGGGTGGAGAGATAAGTGGATTGGTGGAGAGATGGGTGGATTGGTGGAGAGGGATGGGTGGTGAGATGGATGGAAAGATGGATGGATTGGTGGAGAGGGATGGGTGGTAAGATGGATGGATAGGTGGAGAGAAGGGTGGATTGGTGGAGAGATGGGTGGATTGGTGGAGAGGGATGGGTGGTGAGATGGATCGATTGGTGGAGAGAAGGGTGGATGGGGCAGATAGATGGGTGGATTGGTGGAGAGGGATGGGTGGAGAGATGGATGGAAAGATGGATGGATGGGTGGAGAGATGGGTGGATTGGTGGAGAGGGATGGGTGGTGAGATGGATGGATAGGTGGAGAGAAGGGTGGATTGGTGGAGAGATGGGTGGATTGGTGGAGAGAAGGGTGGATGGGGCAGATAGATGGGTGGATTGGTGGAGAGGGATGGGTGGAGAGATGGATCGATTGGTGGAGAGGAGGGTGGATGGGTGGAGAGATGGGTGGATTGGTGGAGAGGGATGGGTGGATGGGGCAGATAGATGGGTTGAGAGAGATTGGTGGAGAGAAATGGGGTGCAGATAGATGGGTGGCATGGATATGGGTGGATTGAAGCAGGGCTTTGGGAGAAACCTCTTTGAAAAAAATTGTAAGTGATGACCCTTAATGTTTTGTTAAACAGTCAAGCTCCAACCAACCTTGTTGAAAAGATTACACGGGAAACCGAGGACGACAAAGCCCTGGCCGCCATACTTGGAATTGAGTGCATTCATTCCGAAGTAATGGTGGGTCAGGCCTCAGTAGGTGGCCACGTTCACAATCAGCACCACCTAGTAGACAAGCGAGAAAAACTGTCAACAGCCATACAACAGCCACACAGTACAAACTCTCGGCTGCATAGTTTTTACTTCAGGTCATTCGTTAGTTTTCTCAATTAGGACCCTCAATGAATATGATGAGTTTAGTGCATGGGAGTCATGCCTCTAATCTAACGTTTTAGACACCCAAATACAGTAAAAAGTTAAAAATAGTTAGGGTGGGCGCTTTGTTCCAAGGACAATAAAACATGACCTTTACCTTGCCTCGGTAGTCACTGAGGCTGATGTTCTTGGCCTTGTGGACGTCCATCAGAGTGAAGTCGTAGATTGTCCTGGGGTCATTTGCAGGCTGGTTGCAGTTCTGTGGAATGTCAGCACCGTCCAGTTACACAACTTTTAGTTCCAGTTACACAACTTTTAGTTCAAGTTACACAACTTTTAGTTCCAGTTACACAACTTTTAGTTCCAGTTACACAACTTTTAGTTTTAGTTACACAACTTTTAGTTCCAGTTACACAACTTTTAGTTCAAGTTACACAACTTTTAGTTCAAGTTACACAACTTTTAGTTCCAGTTACACAACTTTTAGTTCAAGTTACACAACTTTTAGTTCCAGTTGCACAACTTTTAGTTCCTGTCACACAACTTTTAGTTCCAGTTACACAACTTTTAGTTCCAGTTACCGTTACACAACTTTTAGTTCCAGTTACACAACTTTTAGTTCCAGTTACCGTTACACAACTTTTAGTTCCTGTCACACAACTTTTAGTTCCAGTTACACAACTTTTAGTTCCAGTTACACAACTTTAGTTCCAGTTACACAACTTTAAATTCCAGTTACACAACTTTTAGTTCCAGTTGCACAACGTTTAGTTCCAGTTACACAAATTACGCTCAAACACACACAACTTTTGGTTCCAGTTACACAACTTTTAGTTCCAGTTATACAACTTTTAGTTCCAGTTACACAACTTTTAGTTCCAGTTATACAACTTTTAGTTCCAGTTACACAACTTTTAGTTCCAGTTATACAACTTTTAGTTCCAGTTACACAACGTTTAGTTCCAGTTACACAAATTACGCTCAAACACACACAACTTTTGGTTCCAGTTACACAACTTTTAGTTCCAGTTATACAACTTTTAGTTCCAGTTACACAACTTTTAGTTCCAGTTACACAACTTTTAGTTCCAGTTACACAACTCTTAGTTCCAGTTATACAACTTTTAGTTCCAGTTACAAAACTTAGAACATCGATTACAATAAACTATCACACAACCCAGACAAAATTAATAAAAAAACGCTATTTACCAACATAACTCCAGCATGTACGAAGGCGAGCAGGCCACATAGAGTAGCCAGGAGACCAGTGGTCTCACCACTAGACCAGCGCCTCATGGTGAAAGACTGGAGAGAGCCGAGCTAGCGAGACAATTTATACGGGATTGTTTTCCTCACATCTGCTGACCCTGCTCTCCGGCTGGTGTTCAGGCGGCTTGCTCGATCTGTTAATTAGAAAAGGCGTTAGGTAGCCAGGTAAGATTGTAAACATTTTTTTTTTTGAAAGTTTAAATTTAACGAGCTGACTTGCGACGTAGCATACCTACGCCGCTATTTTTTCAGTAATTCATAATTTGTGAATTCGACACTACCAATGCTGCGACAGAAAATATTTTGCTTTAAAACACTATCAGTAGCTCGTGAAGGACGATTATCTTCACCCTCACTTTCCACTCCTCCCACCCACCCACCCCCTCCTCCGTGAAAACAGACGTCCATGACGACAGTTTACAGACGACAATGAAAAGATCTAGCAGAACTTGTTAATACCTCCCCTAAGTTTAAAATCGTTTAAAAACTAAATTATCTGGCCCTAATGGCCGTCACTGATTCGACCCGGCTCGACGATTGTAAACAGCTCACCAGACTGGTGGGGGGGGGGGGGGCGATATGGTCTGTTGAGCATGCCTGGAGAGCGAGGGAGGAGGATGGTTGGCGTGCTTACGTGGTGGTGTCCCGCATGGTCCCTCCATGAAGAGAATTATATATATATATATATATATATATATATATATATATATATATATATATATATATATATATATATATATATATATATATATAGAGAGAGAGAGAGAGAGAGAGAGAGAGAGAGATCCTGTCTTATTTTCTAGAGATGTCTTTCTTTGGGACCTAACACTATTCGACCAAGACAAGGACGTCACAAAACTTTGATTCGGGTTGTTTCCCTTGGTCAATCTTTAAATCCTTTCCTCTCTCAGACCGGGGTAGACAAATGGCGTAGCTCAGTGGCGTAGCGAGGTCGGGTGTCACCCGGTGCGGCACTTAATGATGTCACACGCCCCGAGGCGTAGCGACCCTTGCCGGCGCCCGGGGACAAACTTTCAAATTTCGATTTGCACCCCCCCTCAAACTTTCGATTTGCACCCTCCCCTACCACCCTTGTCGGGATTTTTCAAATTTGCTCTTAAAAGACTTTTTAACACCCAAATTAATCACTTAATTAAGTGGATTTATATATTTTGCTATTTTTTGCCTTGGTATCACCCCGCTAAATGGTGTCACCCGGTGCGGTCCGCACCCCCCCCCCTCGCTACCCCACTGGTGTAGCTAGAGCACTTGAGGCCTAGTGTGGCCTGCCTTTGATGCCCTATACCTAATACTTAATTTTTTTTAAAAATGTGATGATACCCCCCCCCCCCCTCCCCTCACCACGCACACACACATGTTACCTAATGCCAACCCTAATATTTTCAGTAACATCTTGTTAAAAAAAATATGTGTACATTCACAAATTAAACACAACATATGCATTAAAAAAATCAATCTTTTATTGATAGAATAAAATATAGGCATACAATACAGTCTACACGGCAAAACACGAAACTCTATTATTTTAAGCAAAAAAACAGCTGTAATTTAATTATGAGTTTTCCTCTACCAGTGCTAGGATAAAACAACTTTTTAAGAAATTCACAGCTTTCCTTTAGTCTATGCTCCGTGCTATTTAATCTTTACTAACAATTTGTGGGTACCGGTACCTTTAGGTTGAAAGGTCATTACGTCAGCCACGTGACGAATGCACAAGTCACGTGACGTCGGTAGTGTATCGGTGCAGTCTGTCAGTCAGAAATGACTGTTTACAGACAGCACGTCATTCTCCTTTGCTAATCCAACGATACACACAAATTGTGCTCAGATATAGCTCTTGTCACTTCTTGGAAGACATTTTAACATGATGTGCTTATGCTAATTAGAATACACACCACTTCGATCACAATTTTGTACTGTCAATCATAGAATATCACGCCTACAGTGAACAAATTTAATTACAAATGTTCGTTCACAAAAAAGTTTAGAAAAAAGAAAGAAAAATATTTGAAAATTTTGAAAAAAATATTGGTTAAATAGCAGATTCGAGTAGCTTCCTTTTGGTCATTTCGCTCATTAGATAAACAATTACCAGCTATCTGTCCTCGGGTTCAATTTTTTCCTAAGCCAATTTCATTTTGTTAAATAGGCATTAACATGTTCAGTTCAACATATAATTTACAAGCGCAGAAAAAAAAAACAACTTTAAAAACAAAATAAATTCAGATCATACGGCACACTGAAGAGAATGTGAGGAGAGAATGTGAGGAGAGAATGTGAGGAGAGAATGTGAGGAGAGAATGTGAGGAGAGAATGTGAGGAGAGAATGTGAGGAGAGAATGTGAGGAGAGAATGTGAGGAGAGAATGTGAGGAGAGAATGTGAGGAGATAATGTGAGGAGATAATGTGAGGAGAGAATGTGAGGAGAGAATGTGAAGAGAGAATGTGAGGAGAGAATGTGAGGAGAGAATGTGAGGAGAGAATGTGAGGAGAGAATGTGAGGAGAGAATGTGAGGAGAGAATGTGAGGAGAGAATGTGAGGAGATAATGTGAGGAGATAATGTGAGGAGATAATGTGAGGAGAGAATGTGAGGAGAGAATGTGAGGAGAAAATGTGAGGAGATAATGTGAGGAGAGAATGTGAGGAAAGAATGTGAGGAGAGAATGTGAGGAGATAATGTGAGGAGATAATGTGAGGAGATAATGTGAGGAGAGAATGTGAGGAGAGAATGTGAGGAGAGAATGTGAGGAGAGAATGTGAGGAGAGAATGTGAGGAGAGAATGTGAGGAGAGAATGTGAGGAGAGAATGTGAGGAGAGAATGTGAGGAGAGAATGTGAGGAGAGAATGTGAAATTCTTCGACAAATAAATCAAGAAGTTTAAGACGCCTTAGACCAATTGCCCTAGAAAAATCTTGGACCCCTTAGACCAATTGCCCTAGAAAAATCTTGGACCCCTTAGACCAATCCAACCAAAAAGAAAACTCCAGGAATCTTCCACCTAACCGACAACGGAGGTGGACGCGGCTCGGGTCAGCTCTGACGTAATGTCTGCCTCCAGCTTGTCGGGGTCAGTGGCGGGCGGCGCCCGTTTGACCACTTTACCGTCAAAGCCAATCAGGAAGGTCTCCCAGTTCCAGGCCACGTCACCAGCCTTGATGGGCGAGTAGAAGAGCAGGGAGGGGTTAAAGGTCGTCGTGGTGGGCGGGCAGTTGCTCTGGAATTAGAAGAAAATAGTCTCAGGCCAACAAGTTGGTCTGTCTTACAAACTTTACTTATCCGTCGTGCTTAATCCTTCATACGTCGCAAGTGGAATCTTGATACCGAAATTTTTACCCGTGGTTGCGTCCCCTTGCTCCTTAAGGGGGCAGTATCACCCAGAAATTTGAAAATTGACGAAAAAATTTGCCAAAAAAAAACTATTATACATACACACATAAATCTTTTACCATAATAGTAAATAGCAAGGAGCTATAATACAGCACGTAAAAGAAAGTTAACGTATGATGCAAACATTTTTTATAAATAATTTTACCTAAAAATGTTTACTAAGTAATTTTTGGCTGCGGTTTTCCAACATTTAGGCCCTTCCTCCCGAAAATACTCTGGGAGATGCATAACAGGGTTGCCTATGTCCGGGGCTAGGAGATATCCATTGTGACTGATTTTGAAAATTTTAGAATTTTTCAAAGTCAGACCAAAATAATTAAACTTTGAAATTTCCTAAAAAATTTATCTCTCAATAGAATACTATTATCTTAGTCCCAGACGTAGCTAATGACGCAAGGAAGATTTATACCAAATTTTAAGTACTTTACTTATGGTTTCGAAAAAATGTTTACCAAAAATTAAAAATGTGATAAAATATTAACAAAATAATTTTTTGACAATTTATTGCCATACATATACCCTACAATTTATATACTGTATTATAGCAGAAGAAACGTTACTATTGCTGTAAAAATTTGACATGTGTATGTCAAATAGTTTTTTTTTGGTGATAGTTTTTGTTTCCCTCCCCTAGTCTGGGTGATACTGCCCCCTTAAGGGGATATGCGCTTTTTTCCCCTATTTTTTCCCCACGTTTTCTTTAACTTGTTTTCGCGTCTGTTTGTTTGTCTTTCCATCAAATCTTACGATCGAAATTTCGGGCACTTCCCAGTTAGTTAGCGCGCTGAAATTTTTAGGGAATCTTTGTTTCCAATGACAATACAATATTCAATTATTATTATTACTAAATTGATCCATAGAAAAAATGTATTGATCATTTTAGACGCCTATTGATTTGTAGAAAAAAGGGACATAACCTAGTAATTGTAATTTGATAAAAACAAGGTTCGGTACTTTCCCTCTTCTGGCTTACTGAAAAACAAATGAAAAATCATAAAGGAGCGTGCACGCGATTTCTACTTTTTAGTTCAATCAGAAAACGTGGGTTTAAAAAAAAAAATAATGATAATTATTACAATTTAATATCTAAAGCCTTTTTAATACTTTTATCGCGTTTGGCATATGAAAGTTAGTATTAAACAGCAAAAAAAAGGGAAACATTGATTATTTTTTCATTAATAGGGTCATAAAAATGGTGATTTAAACACCTAAATTTTTTTTTCTCTTTAAAGTTATTATTTTCTTTATACAAAAATGGACAAAGTATCCAAAAGTGCAAGAAACCCATCATGACGAAAAACAAGAAATTTTGTGGTTTTTTGCCGCGCATATCCCATTAAGCCATAAGGGCCCTACATGAATGATGATAAAGCGACCCACGCCTTTAGATACGGTATACCCATACGGTTATTGTTTGGTGATGGCGAAAGGGTCAAGCATGTCGTCAGGTATGGAGACTCCTGTGATGTTTTGTTGTTTCTTTTTGTTGTGACATGGCAATTGATTACTAGAAATGAACAATTTGACGACCATCTTGTTTTTGTTTAATCTCGTTGCCTTGTTTCGACCGTATGAACACTAAAATCTTAAGTGGTCTTCTGAAAGATTTCCTCACAAATCTAATAGGCTAAAGTTTCAACCTGTGACTAAAATGTATTTTAAAAAATCTCGAACATAAAAAAGGCTGTTTACAAAGTTTGTGTGAATAATGGTGGCTGTTTACAAAGGCTGTGTGAATAATGATAGGCTGTTTACAAAGTTTGTGTGAATAATGATAGGCTGTTTACAAAGTTTTTGTGAATAATGATAGGCTGTTTACAAAGTTTGTGTGAATAATGATAGGCTGTTTACAAAGGCTGTGTGAATAATGCATTTGTTAAGAAGATAACGGGTTTATTTTTAAAGATAAATAATTAAAAGATGTCTAAAGTGAGGCTTTAAAAAAATTAATAAGAAAAACCGAGGCCCACTTCGCAGGAAATCTTAGGGGTGAAAACAAACTAGTACAAACGAGGCAAGATAAAAATTGAATGAGTCAGTCAAGCTTTACTTAGTTTTTATGTGGGCTGTCTTGATTATGGGCACCATGATTTGACTGTCTTCTTACATTTATTGATTTTGTGCCCTACGGGTTTCGCCCAACTTGTCGTTTGACAACCAGCGACAGCAGAAGTTTTCATTAGCCTCACACCATTTTATTAAAAATTCCAGATGAAACAAACAAATGTCATCCTAGCGACGTCGTCAAATGTCGCTATGTCACCCTCACACACGTCGAAGGTTATTAAAAGTTGTAGTGTGATTATGTAAAATTATAGTTACAGCTAAAAATATCTGTGAATAATTTAGGATAGGGGATATAACACGACTTTTTAGTTTATCAAAGCAGGCGCCATGATGTTTACAGTTCAGTAAGGGTTGAAGACAAAAAGACATGTCTGTTTTTACACGAAACTAACAGATGTGCAAATGTGTGACGTTTTTAATAGCGTAACGGGTCGAACGCCCCACCTTTAGGAATGTAAACAGCGGGTTGTGGACCCACCTTAAGGTATGTAAACAGCGGGTTGTGGACCCACCTTTATGTATGTAAACAGCGGGTTGTGGACCCACCTTTAGGTATGTAAACAGCGGGTTGTGGACCCACCTTTAGGTATGTAAACAGCGGGTTGTGGACCCACCTTTAGGTATGTAAACAGAATGTTGTGGACCCACCTTTAGGTATGTAAACAGCGGGTTGTGGACCCACCTTTAGGTATGTAAACAGCGGGTTGTGGACCCACCTTTAGGTATGTAAACAGCGGGTTGTGGACTTATCTTTAGGTATGTAAACAGCGGGTTGTGGACCCATCTTTAGGTATGTAAACAGCGGGTTGTGGACCCACCTTTAGGTATGTAAACAGCGGGTGCTCCTGTGGACCCACCTTTAGGTATGTAAACAGCGGGTTGTGGACCCATCTTTAGGTATGTAAACAGCGGGTTGTGGACCCATCTTTAGGTATGTAAACATCGGGTTAAAGATCCACCTTTAGGTATGTAAACATCGGGTTGAAGACCCACCTTTAGGTATGTAAACAGCGGGTGCTCCTGGGACCCACCTTTAGGTATGTAAACAGCGGGTTACCCACCTTTAGGTATGTAAAAAGCGGGTTACCCACCTTTAGGTATGTAAACAGCGGGTGCTCCTGTGGCCCATTGACGTCTATCTTCTCGAAGATCTGGAAGTTGGGGACGAAACCACCCCCCGGGCGAACGTACTTGACCCCGTTCATGATTTCTGTACCGTTGGCTCCTGGCTCTTGCTGAAACAGATGGCATGAGACTTCGTCAAACTGGGTGGATGGGTGGATGGGTGGAGAGATGGGTGGATGGGTGGATGGGGGCAGATAGATGGGTGGAGAGAAATGGGGTACAGATAGATGGGTGGCATGGATATGGGTGGATTGGAGCAGGGCATTGGATGAAAGCTCTTTGAAATTTTTTTTAGCGATGACCTTTAATGTTTTGTTATACAGTCAAGCTGCAACTAACCTTGTTGAAAAGATTACACGGGAAACCGAGGACGACAAAGTCCTGGCCGCCATACTTGGAATTGAGTGCATTCATTCCGAAGTAATGGTGGGTCAGGCCTCAGTAGGTGGCCACGTTCACAATCAGCACCACCTAGTAGACAAGCGACAAAAACTGTCAACACCCATACAATAGCCACACAGTACAAAATCTCGGCTGCATAGTTTTTACTTCAGGTCATTCGTTAGTTTCCTCAATTAGGACCCTCAATGAATATGCTGAGTTTAGTGCATGGGAGTCATGCCTCTAATCTAACGTTTAAGACACCCAAATACAGTAAAAAGTTAAAAACAGTTAGGGTGGGCGCTTTGTTCCAAGGACAATAAAACATGACCTTTACCTTGCCTCGGTAGTCACTGAGGCTGATATTCTTGACCTTGTGGACGTCCATCAGAGTGAAGTCGTAGATTGTCCTGGGGTCATTTGCAGGCTGGCTGCAGTTCTGTGGAATGTCAGCACCGTCCAGTTACACAACTTTTAGTTCCAGTTACACAACTTTTAGTTCCAGTTACACAACTTTTAGTTCCAGTTACACAACTTTTAGTTCCAGTTACACAACTTTTAGTTCCAGTTACACACGTTTTAGTTCCAGCTACACAACTTTTTTAGTTCCAGTTACACGAATTATGCTCTAACACACACAACTTAGAACATCGATTACAATAAACTATCACACAACCCAGACAAAATTAATAAAAAAAACGATATTTACCAACATAACTCCAGCATGTACGAAGGCGAGCAGGCCACATAGAGTGGCCAGCAGACCAGTGGTCTCACCACTCGACCAGCGCCTCATGGTGAAAGACTGGAGAGAGCCGAGCTAGCGAGACAATTTATACGGGATTGTTTTCCTCGCATCTGCTGACCCTGCTCTCCGGCTGGTGTTCAGGCGGCTCGCCCTATCTGTTAATTAGATAAAGACCTAATTACTTTAATGATTGTGAATATCCGTTCGGCGAAATGTAGTGAACATCCTGTTTGTGAACTGAATGTTAAACTAGTCGTGAAAGGGCTTTACGGTACAGTGATAATGTATTCATTCAAATAGCGAAGGGCATTACATTACGATACTAGGGTATTAACAGTAAGATTTGTTAGTTGAAAAGATGCAGGGTATTTACAGTACAATTGTTTTCATTTGAATGGTAAAGGGGATTTACGGTACGATTTGTTCATTAGAAAAATGAAGGGGATTTACAGTACGATCTGTTCATTAGAAAGATAACAAGGTATTGATTAGCCGACATGCTTACATGGCTAAAAATAAATGATGGCCTAAAGGCCTCTGTCAAGCCATAGATTTACCTGAAAATTACGCAGCTACCTGTACTAAAAGATTTACCTGAAACTTACACGGCTACCTGTACTAAAAGATTTTCCTGAAACTTACACAGCTACCTGTATTAAAAGATTTACCTGAAACTTAGGCGGCTACCTGTACTAAAAGATTTACCTGAAACTTACACAGCTACCTGTACTAAAAGATTTACCTGAAACTTAGGCAGCTACCTGTACTAAAAAACGAATCCTATACTTTGTGATTTTTGTTTTTTCTTTAAAATAGTAAAAAAATTTCTTTAAAAATTATTACTTTAAAAGGCTACCTCCCCTGTACATATACCAAATAACGTATTATTTACTTTTTCCCAAACAATTGTTTATATAAGAAAATACGGCATCTGGACAAATCTAACGACCCTAATGCAGGGGTCGGCAAACTTTTGAGACGGAAGCGACAAAAGCTACAATTTACAAAATTTCCTAGTTTTCATAGAGCCACCAACGTTTTTATTTTAATATTTGATTAGGATTAGGTAAATAACTTTGATTTTTTAAAAAAATAAATAGCTTTAAATTTGAAATAATATTTATTCATGTAAAAACATACACTTGATTCGCCAGAATAATGAAATTAGTCATAAAAAATAACTATAGGACTATCCCAATCCATTTTAGAAGCAGTTAACTTTTTTTTCTTTCTTTACTGACATCACCGGCTCAGGAGGTGCCTCCCATTAGCCAGGCAGGCCCAACACGGCAAACTCCAACTAACTGGTTTGGATATAGATTTGATTACCGTGTATCGGTCACTTCTGTCCTTTGGTTCTCACCAGGCTTATCTTCCACCCCACTGAACGCAGGGTAAACTCGTACCCCACCGTCCTGTATCCGGCTCAACAGTAGGAAGCTAATAACTAAAACACTACGTCACTCCTGTCAAATTAATTATTACTGACGGAAAGGGAAATGCATTCTGAATAAAATAACATTCCCCATTTAACGATATCCGAAAAAGTTTGCACTTCTGCAGTGGCAAGCATGGAATAGCCACCAAGGGGCTGGCTACAGCACGGCTGTGGGGCTGGGCCTGGTGCCCAAGCGGCTGTCAGCTGTCCGTGTACTCTCTACTCCACCTATTCTCATTGTTCTCTGATTAGTGTTTTTATTCTGTTTAAACTTGTGTTTCTTTACAGTATAATTTTTAAAATGAGTTTTGAAAATGAAATAGTATAACTATTAATATTTGTACAAAGAGCTGAAGAGTCGCATCTTGACATCAAAAGAGCCGCATGCGGCTCGCGAGCTGCAGGTTGCCGACCCTTGTCCTAAGGGTTTTTTTTCCGATGGGAATAATGCTTTTTATTTTTGTTACCCTCCAGGGTTGGTCTAATACCGCAAAAAATAGGGAGATCGTTCGTCATTTTATTTATTTATATATCTCATAGCTAGATGTATTGACGGTTAGTGCCCTAAAATCTGTGTTAAAATTACCTTCTGTTTTTTCCATAAATTACAAAGATTATATAGGGAAATACGACTGCTCAGTTTTGACCACTTTGCAGAACTTTCCCGGATATGAAGAGTTTTTTTTTTCAGGCACCCCTGAGTGTTTTTCTACAACTTCACAAAATATCAAGAGGGGGGAGGGGGGGGGGGGGGGGTTCGTAAAGTTTTTTTGTAATATAGCTCAAATTAAGGCGCCGGTCGTCGGTTTTAACCCTCTCTTCGTGGACTTTGCGGCCAACCAGAACCGGCCCTGTGTACTATTGCCCCAAGGAAGGAGCCTGCCAAAAATGAAGTGCCTGCGGCGCCGGGAAGTGCCCTTTGGGCACCCGACCCCTATATATATATATATATATATATATATATATATATATATATATATATATATATATACATTTATATATATGTGTGTGTGTATTTAAGTATGTATATACGGATGTATATATGTATTCACATTTTTTGTAGATGTTGTTAATGTTACACATAAGTTATTACGATTCTCAACCAAACCGTTTACCTCACGCATATCTTGCAACGTGGAGTTAATGTAACTTCCCACTCCCCCCCCCCCCCCCCCCGATTGCTTTAAACTATGCTCAGAAAATACTAACCATTTTATCTATAGTCGTTTATAAATACAGCTTGATGTAGCATGTTTTCTCTATTATTAGCAGGTTTACGTCATGGTGTCACCCTCCCCCTTGTCGGTATTTGTCAAATTTGCACTTAAAAGACTATTTAAAACTCTAATTAATCACTTAATTATCGTTTTTCTGCATATATTTTGCTATTTTTTGCCTTGGTGTCACCCCCATAAATGGTGTCACTCTCAACGCCTCTGGGTCGTACTATATGATGTGAGGTAGCAGCACTATGTAAGGTGTGTTAACATTTAAGTAAGGGTTGGTACCAAAAGGTTCTTAATTAATTTAACAAGACACAATTTTATCTGCGTGTCGTGCTCCACTACAAGACACAATTTTATCTGCGTGTCGTGCTCCACTACAAGACATAATTTTATCTGTGTCGTGCTCCACTACAAGACACAATTTTATCTGTGTCGTGCTCCACTACAAGACACAATTTTATCTGTGTCGTGCTCCACTACAAGACACAATTTTATCTGCGTGTCGTGCTCCACTACAAGACACAATTTTATCTGTGTTTCGTGCTCCACTACAAGACACAATTTTATCTGCGTGTCGTGCTCCACTACAAGACACAATTTTATCAGTGTCGTGCTCCACTACAAGACACAATTCATCTCGTGAGTCACCTTGTGCTGTGACCTTGAACATGGTGACCCAATCATCTGGTACAGCTGTTACGCCACAACTAAAAGATTCACATCTTTCTAAGATTCTAATGAGAGACACGCAGTGTAACACGGTGATACAGCACTGCCTATCGGCAACTATATGTGTATGTGTGTGTGTGTATAAAGTATGGATGTATGGAGACCAAGTACATGAGTAAACAGCTAAAATGCCAAATGTAGCACACATTGGGCCGTCTGGATCCACAAAGAACTAATGTTCTAGAACATGACGTGTGACTCCGTGATCTGACCGTAAAGTGACGTGTGACTCCGTGATCTGGTAGTGTCTCGTCTGCCTACTGTGGCACTTGAAGAAACCGTTGACCCCTTGACCTCAGACTTTATAAAATAGATTGCTTATCTGACGCTTGGTGCTTCTGTTCTCAAGATTCTGGCGAGGGCCGTAGACAAGTTTTAGTAGCAGGAGGAGCGACTGTTAAAAAAGGCACTATTTCACTCAACCAACACCTATATGTATAATATATATATATATATATATATATATATATATATATATATATATATATATAAGTATATAGGCCCTATAAATATGATGAAGCGCTGTTTACTACAACTGCACTAGCCAAACACCTCGCCTCGTTTAACCCAAGCTGTTGGTGAATCTAATTTTTTTGTTGTTATCTCCCTACCGTGTGGTTTTAAAAAAATCCCCACATCATATTTGTACACGCAGATCTGGATTTGGATAATGGTAAACATGTTTGTGTGGGTTTTCCCGTTCTCTCCCTCCCCCCCCCCCCCCCCCACAGACACACCTCACATGAAGGATGTTGCTAACCCCCAGCTAGATCCAACCATTTGATAGTCTTAGCCTAGACCAGGTCTGGGTGATTTGTCGAGCTGAGTTAAGGGGAAATACTGGGAGGTAGAGGGCTAACTTCATTAAAACGCTACGAGCAGAGAAAAGTTAAAAAAAAAATTAACAGGTTAGTTTGGAAGCTCTTTCATTACTGGCATAACAGACGACCTCACAGGCAACTATTTCATCGCTAGGTCAGTGTGCTGATGGCGTTAGGACCAAGGAGCCAGAGATGCCAAAGGGGTCATCCATAAATGAAGTCACGCTTTTTTGACGATTTTTACCTCCCCCCTCCCCTCCGTCACAGAAAGCCAGACCCCCCACCCCTAAAATGACGTCACACCTCAGCCTACAACCACCCTCAAATTTGGTTGAATTTTTCTTAAAACATCGATATTTTCCAAAATCTTGTCTGAACTCTATCTATATAGATCTAGAGTATTTTAATCAATTCCTATTACAATTTATTAAAACAGTTCTCTAATACGCCAAATAACGTCTAAAATTAATCGTCTAACATTACTTTTTTATAATGCAAAAGTGTGACGTCACACCATCTGAACCCCCCCCATCACAAAATTACTGACCCCCCCCTCCCCCTACGAGTGTGACGTCATTTGTGGACGACCCCCAAACCAAACTTTAGGGAGATTATCTCTGGGCGCCATTTTGACAGGAAGTGACAGGAAGGACAACATGGCTTTCATCTAGACCAGGGGTTCCCAACCTTTTTTTACTCTAGAGCACATTCTAAAATATCGGTATGGAGGCGGGCACCACCTATTTTAAATCGACAAACTCCTTCCAGAGGCGTAGCGACCCTTCCCGGCGCCCGGGGACAAAACTTTCGATTTGCACCCCCCCCACTTAAACTTTCGATTTGCACCCCCCCTCAGTGGCGTAGCGAGGTCGGGTGTCACCCGGTGCGGCACTTAATGGTGTCAACCCCCCCCCCCCCCCAGAGGCATAGAGACCCTTCCCAGGGACAAACTTTCAAATTTTCGATTTGCACCCCCCCCCTCGAGTTTTTCTCTATATATTTTGCTATTTTTTGCCTTGGTGTCACCCCCCTAAATGGTGTCACTCGGTGCGGTCCGCACCCCCCTCGCTACGCCCCTGCCCCCCCCCCCCCTCAAACTTTCAATTTCCATCCCCTTCAACCTTTCAATAATGTTTATGAAAAAAAAATCTGTCTCTGTCGAATAGTGAGAGGCGGGCACATACGAATCGTTCGGCGGGCGCCATGGCGCCCGCGGGCACAGGGTTGGGAACCCCTGATCTAGACAGTCATACATAAACCACGTCACACTCATTGGGGGCGGGGGGCTCAGACCATTGTGACGATGTATGAGGAGGAGGCGAGAGTGGTGGGGTTCAGAAAGTATAACGACATTCTTTTGCATTAAATAATTTTTAGAAACTGTTTTTAGCCTTTACTAATAGATGTAGAAAAATGGACTTAGATCGAGCTCAGAAAATATATTTAGAAAGAAATGTTTTAAAACACAAAAACTACAAGAGCACCATGTTTGTCATATTGTACACAAACTTTAGTCACAGGGTACTGTTACATGCACGAAGCTGATACAATACATGGTGTCATAGACTTGGTCAATACTTGCAATGGTTGACAGGAAAAACAAATTAAACTGATTAGTGTTGCCAATAACTGCTATGGTTACCTTAAAGCTGTTAATCTGATTTATTTTGTACTAATTGCTAATGGTTATGTAAAATATATTTCAAGTAATTTTTCTGTTAATTAATGCTCATAAAGGTTACTACCAAATGATTTTTCAATGACGAATGCAACAATGTTAAATTGATTCATTTTATAATTATTATTTAGAAAACAAAACAAGGCAAGGTTATCAAAATTAGTAAAATGTAATAAATATCACAGGCATCTTACGACTAAAGTGACTGACATATGATGTACCAAATAGAAACATGAACTGTGAAAGTCTGTTCGTAAACTAATGCTACATCTCCGTAGGATGATATATGACATTTTATGTGTGTGTGAACACAGAATAACAATATGACATTCACAAGAGCATTTTTATATGGAATATATTTACAATTTATAGTAAATAAAATACTTTGTACATTTTATTTAAGCATATATATTTTAAAAACTACAGAGGAATTAAAACTTCTTAAAAATTCAGATCTTGCAAGCGCTTACAGAAAGTTTGTTTGGAGAAGATTGGCAGCTCACAGCACCACAAACCTTTTCACTGACAGGTCAAAGTTCAAAGTTGATATCAGGGTGACATACAAACAGGTTGAGTTAAAACTAGAACAGGACAAACAATTTAAAGACGTGACACCACAAGAACACACTAGAATTTTGGACGGATAATTTTATAAAAACTTGAAGTGAAATTTGTAAATAAATCAATTCTGATAAAAAAGTCAAATAAATCAGGATATAAATATAACGAGGCTTACATCATGTGAAATAAATAGAAGAAAAAATATCAAAATACCTGCATTCAGGTGCCATCAAGCAGCAAATATCTAACTAATAAGGTAAATAGTTTTATTTTTAACTTCCCTAATAGTTTTTATGTTAGCTACATATGTAAGCTATACATTCTAAAAAATATCTAAGCACAGTGTACAATACTTTAAATTATTCTATTAAAATTGGCAAATGCTGAAGGTCAGAATCTTTTCTCAGACATTCACACTTGATATACTACAAGGTCTTCAATCATCAATTGAATTAAAACATTTCTCATCTAATAAATACAGTATGATTATGATGTATTTAGGATTTAAACAACGTTCATAAATAAATGTGATGGTTTACACAAGACTCAATAAATAATTTGTCTTTTCCAAGCCACCATTTTCACTCTGTTCCCTGTTTACTCTCAACTTTACCTAGAGGCTGTTCCCTGCTTACTCCCACCATTTTCACCTAGTGCCTGTTCCCTATTTACTCCCACCATTTTCACCTAGAGGCCGTTCCAAGCTTACTCCCACCATTTTCACATAGAGGCTGTTCCCTGCTTACTCTAAGCTTTACCTAGTGGCTGTTCCCTGTTTACTCCCAACATAGTTGAATATAGCAGATTGAAGAGCCTGAACTCTCTGAGCCTCCTCCTCTCTCAGCCGCACCAGCTCCAATTCTCTGCCCTTTAATTTTTCCTCCAACATGACAATCTCTTTATCTTTCTCTTCAACTTGTTTTCTGTGTTTCAGCAGTTGTTCTGTAAACATGCATCAAGTTGTACTCGTTAGCTTTAAAAATAATTGTAAATAAAATAAGATAACTCATTAACAAAAAATAAATAATTTTGGCAGCAGTGTGCGAGTGTTACCTGACATCTGAGTGTCCACACTTGCCAGTTTTTCCCTCAGCTCTGACTGGATTGACCTCTCCTGGTCCAGCTTACTCTGATACTTGCTCATCTCAGCCTTGACCTTACCCACCTCAGCCATGGTGTAGTTGTTCTTCTGTGACAGCTCCTACACAGGTCACACAAAGCTACTCAGTTACAATGGGATTTATGCAAGTTTTTATTTGTAGTGTAAACTTTTTTTTAACTGCTACTAAAATGATGTCTTATTATACCAGGGTAAAAAGACACTGTAACACAACTGGTTAAAATTCTACAACTTAAAATCTGGAGGCTGTAAAGGTAAAAACTATAACACCCTTTATTCAAATTATCAGGGAATGGAGAGAAGAAACAATCTCATAAAGACTTATTGAGTAGGTTAAAAGGAAATACTGTTCAAAAAGGTTAAAAGATATTGCCCCTCATATATTTTAAACTTTATTAACAAAAAAACTAATTTAAAAAAACCATAACGAAGTCTCACTAACTTCAGTCATCAATAAGGTTAATTAACTGAAAAAGTTTGACACCAACAGAAAATTAATTAAAAACAATCCTCCAAACCTCGTTAACTTCGTTCATCTGCCTGCGCATGTTCTCAAGCTCCAGCTGCAGGTTGCTGTTCTTGTGTTGTAGTTGTGAGATGGTGGAGGTCTGCTGGTTGCAGTGGCTGTGGAGCTCATCCCTGGACGTCTGCAGCACTCGGATCTTCTCCTCCAGCTGGACGTGACGCTGCTCCTACGGGAAAAATTAATGTCTTTTTTATAAAAATATTGCTGGACAAAACTATAACACCATGCCAGTTTAATCAGTAACTAGAAATATTGGAATAAAAATCTCAGAGATAAACTGGATTCAAACGGATAAAAAGTTCTTACAATAAATACAAATCTCTTTGGCTGCAAAAATAAATAATTTAGCAGGGAAAAGAAAAAAATCTGGAGATGCTATTCAGCACCAATAAAGTAAATTTTCTCCATGAAATGGTTTGCGCTCACCTCTTCAGACTTGAGTCTGTGTTTCAGTGATGCAATCTGCTCTTCAGCGTTCAACTTGTCGGATACATTGGCAGACTTGAGGCGACTGATCTCCTCCTCCATGTCCAGTCTCTGGGATTCCATTTTAGAGATGCGATCTCTCAGTATCCTTTCCATCTCCTCACTTTCTTGCTTCATGCGGGCCATCTTTTCAAACAAGATTCATTTTATTCATCATTATGTGTTAGCTTTAGTCTTCAAACTATCTTTAATGTAATGCAACAAGGAACTTCAATTTTAAAGATTTTTCTTACATCTTTCTGTTTGTATTGTTCTAAATCCCTCATAGCTTCTTTTTGACGTAGTTTTTCTTGTGTGATCCGCTCTGTAACACAAATATAAAATTAAGTTTCTACTGTAAAAAAAAACTATTTTTTTTGTTTGATTTTTGCCCATGCATGAAATCCTTAACTTTTTAACAACTCTACAAATGTGTGAGGTGGCCGCTAGATGACTAGTATTGAGCAGACAATGACAGACTATTTATAGAACTATTTTTTGCCAGCAGGCAATGACAAGCTATTTATAGAACTATTTTTGCCAGCATAAAAGTCCTACAGTGCAAGCCTAATTAAAAAACCAACCTTCAAATTGTGAGCCTTTCAAAGTTAACTCAGACTGGACATGGGTCAGCTGTTCCTTCAGGTCATAAATCTGCTCCTGTTGCTGCCTACATTTTCTCTCTAAATCCTCAACCTATTTGTATGGAAAATGTTTTTCATACAATCTTGTCTTCCAACTATTCCAAAAAAAAAAATTAAAAAAAAAATCTCGACATACTTTATTTTGTAGCTGAATGTTTTTGTCCTGGGCATCTGATATTTCCTTAAGATACTTCAGTTCTTCATTGGCCCTATCCTACAAGAAAGCAAAATGTTTCAGTTGTTATACCCTACTAGATCGTTAATAAAAGTTCTACCTGATTTTTCTTTTGTTTTTTGTCTGTATCTAAAACAGAAATAAACAATGTTGCTCGGATGATACAGAAATTATTGGGATACTGTTTTATTTTTTCAAGGACACAACAGGCTAACTTAGAGTACTGATAGAGTAGCAGGTCATTACCTCCCAGATCAACCTCCCATGTTGTACATTACCACCTCCCCCTCCACCAGAGACAAATTATTATTAAGGTCAAGAAAAGTGTATTATGACTCACTAAAATTATAAATATTTGTTCTTGATATGCTAATATTTGTTCTTTATATGCTAATATTTGTTTTTGATATGCTAATATTTGTTCTTGATGTGCTAATATTTGTTCTTGATAGAGACAGCAGTAGGACATTACACACCTGTCAATTAGACCCCCCCCCCCATCTGGTTATTTAAAGATTGAAATATGGGTAAGTTTGGGTTAGAGGGAGTGGCTAATTAACGGGGTGGGGGAGGACATAGTTGACAGGGGGAGGGTAATGTTCTAGAACCACTTCCCACACGAGGTTACCTACCTCCTTCTCCTTGCGCAGCTCGTTCATGTGACTGACAGCCATCTCCTGCATCTCTGACTTGAGCCGGTTGACTGTTGAGTTGAAGTCATTCACCTTCTGCTCTGACAGGGCCAGCTCTGTTTCAGCCATTGACAACCTACAAACAAACAAACATACAAACATCAGCACAAGGAAACACAATCATAAGGTCATCAAATGTTGAGTGAATGGAAAGAGCATTTAAATCTGTGTATAGATCAAACTAAAATACTAACTTGGCAGCTAATGAGTTAAAAGCACTTTTTCTTTCATCTAAAGCAACTTGGAGGTTACCAATTTGATGAGTTGAAAGTCTGAAAAAAATATTTAAAATTTAATAACCCTTACACAAACTGACAGTCATTTTACTTATAAAAAATAAATTGTGATATAGATATGTATTACTTGTGCAGATATATATATATATATATTTGTAATGTATTAATTTCTAAACAAATTTTTTTTTATAAATTATACTTTTTGAAATGAAATCTATCATAAGCTTTAAACTGGACAGGTTGAAACAAACCTTTGTGATTTTCTTATGACCTCTTCTTGTTGGTCTATTGTTGTTAGAAGTTCATTTAGCTGGGGAATACACAAACATTTGATTGATTGAATACTCAATTATTAGCATATCAAGAACAAATATTAGCATATCAAGAACAAATATTAGCATATCAAGAACAAATATTAGCATATCAAGAACAAATATTAGCATATCAAGAACAAATATTAGCATATCAAGAACAAATATTAGCATATCAAGAACAAATATTAGCATATCAAGAACAAATATTAGCATATCAAGAACAAATATTAGCATATCAAGAACAAATATTAGCATATCAAGAACAAATATTAGCATATCAAGAACAAATATTAGCATATCAAGAACAAATATTAGCATTTCAAGAACAAATATTTATAATTTTAGTGAGTTATTAAACACTATTCTTGACCTTAATATTAATTTGTTTGAAACATTTTGTCAGAAAAAAAAAATTAATTTATGGCAAAAAAGTGACAATAGAGACAGTACCTTACAAAAAGGGACAATAGAGTCACAGTTATCTGAAGTGTCAAAAAGTGACAATAGAGACAGTTACCTGGAGTTTCTTGTCCTGTTCTAGACCTCGAATATGTTTGGCCATTGTTTGAGTGCGTTTCAAGTTTTCATCAACAATTATTTGTCTATCTGCATTATTCTGTACTGCAGTTTCTGGTAAAATCAAGTATAATGAACATCAAACCTATTCTAAAAATTAATAGTTCCCTAATGGAACTGACTAAAATTGGAGAAATGTTAAAAACATCAAATTTTTTACATTAACTTCTTTTTAAAAACAAGAAAAAATTAAAGTAGAAAATGGTTGCAACAGGAAAAGATCTGATACTGCAACAGGAAAAGATCTGATACTGCAACAGGAAAAGATCTGATACTGCAACAGGAAAAGATCTGATACTGCAACAGGAAAAGATCTGATACTGCAACAGGAAAAGATCTGATACTGCAACAGGAAAAGATCTGATACTGCAACAGGAAAAGATCTGATACTGCAATAGGAAAAGATCTGATACACACCGATTGATTTAAGAATGTCTGAGGGAATGTTGTTCCCAGCTAACTCCAGGCGACTCAGCGTTTTATTGCTTTGTAACATTTCTAGCAGCGCTCGCCCTCCAAGTAATCCGCAATTATTCCAGCGCAAGTCTAATACAAATGAAACTTCACTTAAATATAATTCAAGTCAACTGCATGCTATACAAGTTTTATCCAAATAATTAAAAAGTGGAGAAAATTCAACAAATTTATACTTTCCCTGGGGTTATTTATTAAAATTTATAGAACTTTTAAATTTGCGAAATGATGAAAAATATTGACCCAAAGCTTTAAGGTGAACATTCCGCTTTAAGGAGGCAGCAAGCTCAGCAACACTGTCATGACTGATCTGATTGTTGCGCAGGTCCAGTGCCCTGAGTGAAGTGTTGGATCCAACGCCCTCACAGAACACAGCAAACGAGTTATCCAACATTCCCATGGCGTTCCACTCTAGACAGAGGCTTCACAGGATAAACAAAGTTTTACAGTAAGAAACAGTGGCTGAGCAGGGTAAACAAAGTTTTACAGTAAGAAACAGTGGCTGAGCAGGGTAAACAAAGTTTTACAGTAAGGAAAAACTTCAACTCTCAATGTTTTAAAGAATGTTCACTATATCAATAGGAAAGGAACTCACAATCTAAATAAGATATGCCCATTTTCTATGTTAAAGCACTTAAATGTAACTATTTCATCTTTCTTTAAAATGCAGATAAAATTAAAACTTCCAAAAAATTATTTCATGCGAAATTCTGTTTTTTTTTCCCATTTTCTACAAGAAAAAATTGACAAGCTGACCTGACAAGAGATTTATTGTGACACAACATTTTTCCAAGGGCTTCTGTTGCTGTACCTCTGATGTTGTTTCCCTGAGAACATTAGTTACACATTTTGTGAGTTCACTATACTACTGTACAATAAAACTATTGAATGATATTTCAGACCACATTAACTTTTAGAATATTTTTATATGAGTATTTAAAAGGTTAACACAAAACCACATTTGAAACAAACGAATTAAAAGTTTTGAATTTGAGTATAAGTTCCTGTACCAGTAGCTAGAGTAAAACTATCTAAAGTCTTACACAAAGAAAAATGAGCAAATGTAAAACATGATGGGGAAATGATTACCTTAAGATCTAATTTACGACAAAATGTATTGTGTGTGAGTCCCTGGCTTAATCCTTTAATGGCTGAAAGTGTTTTGGAAACATTTTGAACATCATAAACATCTTACTTACAAGGGAAATATGATAATAATTTCCTTTCATTTTTGTAACAAAACATATTCTAATATTTTTAAATACAGAACCCTGACAAGTACACCTGGAACCAATAACTATACTACACAAGTTTAAAATATTAAAGATTGAATTAAAACTTATATCCAGTCCAATAACTTTCCCATTTAAATTGTGTCACATTTTAGCTTTAGTAAGAAAATTTTAGATAGGCTCCCGTGAGCTGCAGTAATAAATAATTTCAATGCTCAGAGAGATTAATCTGACTTCACTATCTCTACACAAACAGATGAATCTGACTTCACTAGGTCTACATCTTAAGATGAATCTGACTTTTAGGAAAAAAACCAAACGTACCATCCTCTGCCAGCATACAGTCTGAGAATTTGATTTCCACAAATGTCCGATCTGATGCTAAGACCTTTCCTAAGACAGCACATGTTTTTGGTGTTAGGCTATTGGTTGATAGGTCTAGTACTGCCTTGCTACTTGAACCAACTGCTAAACTGTCAGGTCAAAGAAATTTATTTATGGACTGCGTTATTTCAAACAGTGTTTTACAAAGCTTTTTGATAATTTAGCATTAAAACATCCGTACTAAAAGGGCAATTTAGCATTAAAACATCCTTACTAAAAGGAAAGTTAGCATTAAAACATCCTTACTAAAAGGGAATTTAGCATTAAAACATCCTTACTAAAAGGGCACATAATGTAAGGTTTGCTGAGTGAAGGGCTACTTGTTAGTAAAATAAATTTTTTGAGCGGCAAATGTCAGTATAGATACTGGTCATTGTTTACGTTAAATTATTTAGTTGATTTTATCAACACTATACCTGACACAAGTTTTATATAGTTGATTTTATCAACACTATACCTGACACAAGTTTTATATAGTTGATTTTATCAACACTATATCTGACACAAGTTGTATTTAGTTGATTTTATCAACACTATACCTGACACAAGTTTTATATAGTTGATTTTATCAACACTATACCTGACACAAGTTTTATATAGTTGATTTTATCAACACTATACCTGACACAAGATGTATTTAGTTGATTTTATCAACACTATACCTGACACAAGTTTTATATAGTTGATTTTATCAATACTATACCTGACACAAGTTATAGTTTTAAATTATTAGCACATCAGTTTTTCCAATGACAGGGTTATATGTAATCAAAAAGCACTGACTTGTTTTAAGCTTACATAAATAAAATACCTCTTACATAAGAGCCTGGTTTGTTTATGAATTGCTTTTGATAAATGAAAAAGTTTTTTATTCAGGCACTTAAAAGAGATTATGGTGGTAGTGGAGGTAGGAACTGCGTGTGATTGGTGGGTTGGAAAAAATGCCATTAGTGGTCATACAATTTGTCTCAAGTCAGGAGTCATTTTACCATGAGCCCATTTGTTGGGAGCCAATATATCTGGCCCTTTTGTCAGGGTTATTTTGACTGGGTTGTTTTGTTGGGGACGGATTTGTCAAGGGCTGTTTTGATGCTGCAACCTCTTAGATAAACTAAATATCTCTTAACTAAATGCCTCTTACATTTACCAAATGCATCTTAAATAAACTAAATACCTCTTCAATTTTTCAAGAACACAATCTTGGGGGTCAATGTGGTGATCTTTGCACAGACGAATGTAAGTGTGTCGAAAATCTTGCATCATGTTGTTTTTTCCTTTTAAACATAGACAAAGTTTAAAGTTAGGTATTAATTATCTTCATTAATTAAAAGTTTTGATATGATATGCATTAACAATTTAAGGAGAACAAACTAGTAATACACCACAACTAACAATAGTAATATCTAAGTGCTAAATTAAATATTCAAATAAAAGTGATAGTGACAACAACAGTCTAATCCAACAATACTGAATAGTGTCATTTTGTTTAGTTTGTGTAGCCCACTGAGCTGTCTACTGCGTAGTGTAATTTGTAGCCTATTATGATCAGTCATTGTACATAAGGGTTTGTGTGGCCTAGCGGTAGACAGCTACACTGCTAACCAGAAAGTATCGAGTTCGAATCCGGGGTCATGTTAGTAGAATGTCACTGAGTTGACACAGCTACGATGAGTACCTAGTTAGGGAAAACAAAGGCGGATGGGCAAAGTGCTGACCATACTACCCCTTCAGATGCCGAGGTCTCTGAAACATCTGCCCCATGTGTCTTGGGCATGAACGGAAAAAAAAAGAAGTGTATATAAACTATTTATAAATAAATTAGCCTGTCACATGACCAATGACCTACTTTTTTTCCGTCATTGTTGTAATGATTGCCACCAAAAACAACGATAACATGATTATATTTTTTAACAATGTTTCATTGTCATATCAGAAACAGATCTTAATATTCATTATTATTGCATATCATTCAATGATACTGATCTAGTTTTAACAATGGACAATTAGTGTTTGATTCTAACTTGCCATTTGCGCATTGTTTTAGCCTAATTGTTAAGAATATCGAGCAGAACATAAAGTAAGCACAACATTAATTACTGTATTTAGGCCTAACATTATTGTCTTAAAAACACTTAGATTTTTTTTAAACTATAAAAAATTATGTTACTTCAGACTTCATACTAAACTAATTTCATTAATTAAAAAAAATTATGCCTTAAAAAAATAACTTGATGGATACAACAGCCAACTAAGCCCGTCCATTTTGCCAGCTGTGTATTTGAATGGGAAGAAATCTAGCACATTTCTGTTGAACAGACTCTAATAAAAAAAAAAGCTAACCTACAAAATCAATCATAGCAGCGTAACTATTTAAAAACAAAGACATTTTTTCACAAATCGTTTTCTAGGCTACCGATTAATTTTTATAATTAAAATTGGCATCAAATTAAAAGTAGGCCTAAATAAATGCTTTTTTAATGGTTTAAGTAATCTTGAACAATAATGAATTAATAATTAATAAATTAGCAGTCATTTTAAAATATTATTGATACTTTAAAAAAAAAATCAATTTTGAAATTTTCATCAAAATGCCTACAATAGTAATAGTAATAGTACATTTTACTTAATTTTCTCACTAAATCTAAAATTTACGCAATTTTCAATTTAAACATGACCATTGGATAATAGACAACGATATTTAATCCATTAGGCACTAATTTTGAAGTTTTTAGTTAGTTTTAAACTGAATTAGGCCTACTTGATTTAATATTTATTGTCAGTCACTGCCATGACATGGCACACCACTCCATGACAACACAACTTACCACGAATCAGTTCAAGTTTTTAATTGGCTATGCACCAGAGTTCCTCACTAGTGATGAACCAAATAGCGGTCACATGGTTTTTAAAAAATAAAAATAAATTGGTTGTGATATGAACGTTGGTCTTTAAAAAAAACAGCTCACAATGTTTGATTTCTTTTTTCATAGACTGATAAAACTAAGAAGGCTTTACGTTCTCGCTCATTTTTGTACCTACACCATTGATATTTTAAATGTTCTACTAATTTTAATTAAACCAACTTTTGAATTTAGCCTCCATTCTCCGAACTAAATTTTAAAATGCTTTTCTGGCATATATAGCCCTGCTACCTATGGTTTGTTTTTATAACGCAAAAACCCCACCATTTGGCTCGTGGTAAACATTTAAAACAGTAATTCTAAGAAGGTCACTGGAACTAAGACAAAAAATCGCTGGAAGTCATGCATTCGGTCCGTACATCATATTGTTGTGAGCAACCGGCCATGCATCTGGGTTAGCGAATGATTTTACTTGCTGTTGCATTTTTTTCATATTTGCAGTTTAGCTAGAATTATAAATAAACTAATAGGCCTAGAGTAAAGTTCCACGCGCGGTCACACATAGCGGAAAATTCCAAATTCCCGATTTTCATCGGGCGCTATTTTATAACCGTTTCACACAGAAACAAACCGAAAGCACTGTATTACTCCGCTGCCATTCTACTGTAATATGTATGAGTCATTTTGTATTCCTACGCATAGTATTTAAGATATTCATGTTTTAGTGACGTCCCTCCTTGCGATATTTTTTTTCCCTTTTTTTTTTGCCTGCGTACGCAAGAACCTGCTTGCCAACGAGCGTATTGTATACGTTTTGATCCAATTTTAATAATTGAAATAAATATTTTACACACTTAAACGTGTTGTTGATTGTATTATTAATTAATAGATTGCAAAAATAATAATTAAAAACATGTTAATTAAATTAATTAAAGACATTAAAAGTTGACCCAGTGATGACTCAAGGGACGCAACTATAATAATCATAACAAAGGGACGTAACAACCACTAAAAGACATAACGTAACATTTGCTTAGATATGCTTGTATGTAGAGACACAAACTAGATTTAGAAGAAGTAGATGATCGAAATAATTTAAAACAGCAGAAAAAAATAGAAAGTATACAGATTCTAGGCTTAGTTTGAAATATAGAGCATCTAGAACTAGGCTAGTCTAGCTCAAGTCGTTGGTTACGCAGCGATGTGAAACCACCGTAATCGACACCCAAGCTGCGGCCACCCCTATTTACCTATCAGGTTGCTTTATTAGCCTTATCTATCGTATGTAAAGTGTCCCGCATATATTGTAGAAGCTATTTATAGTTAACCTCGTTATAAAAAGCTTTGATTGGTTGGTTTTATTCATCTCATCCGGGACCTAGTGTTTTTCATAGGGGGAACTAGAACCGCCTACGACGTCATACCTCGAAACTTTAAAATTTAAAAACTCGACTTCCAGAAGGAGAAAAACAAAAGAATTTGACCTGGATATATTTAGAAATGGACAGGTTTACAGCAGATATCGGTAGTTTCGTATAAAACATCAAAACAAATATTGTACTAGGGATTTTGGTAAAAAAACACTAATCGTCATATAAAAATAAAAATTACATATTCTTGTAGAGCTCAACTATATGAAAACAAAACAAAAAAGATTTTCTGTCTAGCTCAAATATTTTTTTTTTAGCGAATTTTTTTGTGAGGGGTGGAATGCCCTTGCTTTTGCATTGGCCAATTGTGACAAGTCATGGTATACCTGAATAAATTGAGCATAGTTATTTTACTTGCAGTTGTATTTTGTTCATATTTGCAGAGTTGAGCTAGAATGATATATAGAACTTGTATATGCTGTTGAAATAAATAAAAATAATACAGAAGTATATTTTTGTGTTGGCTTCCTTCCATAACCCCAAAAAAACTGTGCTGCGCAAATATGAAAATGTTTCTAAAGCAATGTTTTACAGTGAATGAAAGAACTACAAAGTTAGCAATCTAAAGTAAATGACTTGAACACTGAAATGTGCATATAACTGCATATAACTGCCCCATTATTTTGGGCAGGTGAAGTAGAGTCCATCTTTTAGACATTTTGTTATAAAACTGTGCTGCGCAAATATGAAAAAGTTTCTAAAGCAATGCTTTATATAAATACAGTGAATGAAAGAACTGCATAGTTAGCAATCTAAAGTAAATGACTTGAACACTGTAATGTGCATATAATTGCCTTATTATTTTGGGCAGGTGAAGTAGAGTCTATCTTTAAGCCATTTTGTTAAAAGTGAACTGAAGTTATCTGATCAATGTTTTTATGTGTGTATTGTGTATGAATTCTGATTTTCAGCATATAAATATAACTAAGTAAGGGTAAGTAGAACTTGAATACTTAAAATTACAGTTAGCACATAGCTAGTGTAGTGTATTCTAGCAACAGACAGGTAACCTATGTCTGACTCAGCAAAATTTTACTTCAAGCAAAACTAGAACCAGAGTTGAAAAAATGAAAGACAGGTAGATCTATATTAAAATATGTTTAAAACAACAAGTAGGAGATTTGTTTGTACATTACATAAGAATACTGTTGTTAGTGTATCAAAACTAAAAGCCGGCAGATCGGGATGAAGAAATATAACATTGGAGTCAATGGGGGCAACGTGACCTACTTACGGTGACTACTTTCAAATGAGTATTTACTAATGTCAAAGTCAAAATATCCAAAAATAAATATCATTTCTATAAAAATGGGATGTATCTGCTTTGGAAACTTTCATTATCTAAATGGAAACTTTTCAAAAATCGCGTTTTTAAAGCATTTGAAGTTAACCTTTATACCGCGGTAAGACCAAAGCAGAGACAGCATGCAATCAGATCGCTAAGCCATCAAAACAACTGGAAAACCATTCTACTTTTCATTTAACATTAGGAAATGACCTTTTAAACTTAATTAATTACCATAAATTAAAAACTTATTAGTATGCAAAACTAAATCTCGTGCGCCCGGTATCAGAAAGTAATGGGAGATTTCGGGTCATGTTTTTACCGCGATCTCGGCCGATACCGACAAGCCTAATTGTACGAAGCGATAAACAGGCGATGATCGCACCGGTGTTTTAACCGCGCGTGGAACTTTACTCTATATATTCGGAGCGTATGTATGTAGATCTAGATAGATATTGTTGAACTGAATAAATTGCAAGCTTCCTCGCCTACCCCCAAAAATAATCATAATGTATATAATGTATAGTAAAGTCTAAAGTAGTAGGTAGATATCTAGATCTAGTAGTAGGTTAAATTATGGATTTTTTAAAATAAAATATTCTGTTATTTCAAATACACCATTAAGTTCCTTACCCCTTAAGAGAACATTTGACACCACATTTAAATATCTAGCTTACTCGGTTGACGAGAAAAGAGAGAATTTGAAAATTAATCAAAATTGAAAATGAATGACAAAACAGCGTTCTTGGCATAACATGACGTCGTCGACTTGTGTACACGAGCTTTTAATTCCCGCCATGGTAATTGCGTCAGCTTAGGTAATTTACTCACCGGAAAATAACAAAAAGCAACTGGTTGATAATAAAACTGGATCTAGTTATTTTATTATTTATTAAATTCTACTCTACATGTTATTCATACCATTTTATGAAGTAATGAACACCTGCATAAATCAAATGACCATAATTAATATTTTTATTTCAAATTCTAATTTTAAATAATAAATAATAAATATGCTTAAAATAATATGATAGTAACAGTTATGATCGTTTATAAATACAAATACATTTTACACTCAATTCACATTATATTGAGTCAACAGTGTGGCAGCTGAGGTTCATACATGGTATTTTTTTTTTTTTACATTACATTTTTTTTTCATCTTGAAAACATGACGTATGTGATTTTTTTTTAAAATCTCCAAACATCGTCACTCGCGTGATTGCTTGCTTACGTTTACTATCCTGTGGATGAAAAATCCCACCACGGTCGGTCGCGGGTCACCGTGAGTTCAGCAGGCCTATAGTACACGTCATAGCATGAACACGCGTACACGAGATGGTCGGTGTCTTCACTTCTCTCTCTCTTCCCCCCCCCCCCCTCCCTCTAGCCAATTGAAAAACAGACCTACTTCCCTACTTCTGGTCATTTTTTTTTAAAGTTCGGTCATTTTTTTTTTAAGTTCACATATCAGGCATGCAAGACAGCCAGCCAGTGGCGTAGCGAGGTCGGGTGTCACCCGGTGCGGCACTTAATGGTGTCAGCCCCCCCCCCCCCCCAAAGGCGATTTGCACCCCCCTCAAGTTTTCGATTTGCACCTCCCCCCCTCAAACTTTCGATTTGCACCCACCCCCTCAAACTTTCGATTTGCACCCCCCCCCCCCCTGCAGCCAGCTGTATTAAAAAATATTTTTTAAACTAGATCTACGTCTAGCTTAAAAAAATAAATAAACGCTTAAAATGCCAGTAAACAGATTATTTAGCGCCAAAAAAAAAAAAAAGGGCCGCTGAACGAGCATTTTTTAAAATACGCAGCAATGAAAAGGGCTAACGGCCGATCAATTAAGTCTAAAAAACGCCCGTAATTAGGCCTAGCTCTGAAAAAGGCCACTGAACGAGCATCACTAATTATATAAACGAATAGGCCACGCAGCGTTGACGAGGTTAACCACCGGTCACGAATTAAATTCAATGCAGCTACTGTCGGCCCACAGTGAAGAAAAAATCAATATACTAATAAAATTACTAATACAAAAATAATTTCCATAATTTTACTTTTTCTGCACACGCTACAATTGAATTATAATTAAAATACTAGACTTAACAGTTCATTCCGCAAAAAACAAAAACGAGTTGTTTCTGTGAGGTAACTAGCGTAACAATGACGTCACGATAGTAAACAAAGCGGACAGAAATGTCTGCATGGGTACCTCATATGGAAATTCGATATAAAATAGGCGAATCAACATAACTGTAATTACTCATTATAAATATCTCAATTATATATTACTACTTCTGTGCCGGGGGGTTTCGACCGAGTGCTGGGCCGTTTAAAGCGACAGTTCAGTTTTTCCCAAGAGTACTCGACAAGAATAGCATGTATTAATTAAAACCACATATCTGGCTATTTTTTCGGCCATTTTCAGGCATGGCGTCCATTTATATAGCATGTCTCATTAAAATAATGATGAGAATTAGCGAGATTAGCAGTTTTTTCATTTGTCGTGTATAGGACCCCTAAAATAAACGTAAAAACCGCCAGAAAACGACGCGTGACGTTTCAGGGTCAGAGGTCAATCCAGCCATATAAGCAACAATCCGGCCTACTAGTAGTAAGCTAGAGGCAGAGGCATTGGTCATGTCTAGACTTGAAAAAAATTATTCTTTCTTGAGAAGTTTGAATGTTTTTATTTTCGTGTGTTGAAAACTGAAAGCCTAAATCTATTAAAAAATGATCGACAGTTTTTCTTACTTCTAAGTAGATCTAGAATCTATATAGATCTAGATTCTACTAAATTACAGAGCCTTGTAATCCTTTCGGTAGCTGCAGACTTTCAGCTTTCTGATATTTTTTCTTTCACTTTCATATTATTGTTTTGATTTTTTAAATTATAGTCTTTTGCAGTCGTAGCAGTTAAGAATTTATTTTTAAAAAATTATTTCGCTGTCTAAAAGCATTTTTGAAGCCACTGATTTAATTTATTAAAACAACAATATTTGTTTTAAACTGTTTTTATCAGCGTTTTTTTTTCATAAGCAAAAAATTAATGAATGGAGCCAACCCTTATTTTAAAAAACCCCAACCTAACACCAGTAATGTACTAGGGTGGTCGGATTTCTGATTATTTCTGACGTGTGGAAAAGGCCCGGGGAGGGAGGGGGAAGTGACTGAGCATTATACAATTTTTAAAATGTTTTTTTTAAATAATTGAATATCGGATTTCATAAAAAAGTATAATTCACAAAAATATAAACAAAATATAAACAAGTGTCCATCAAAACGTCAATAGAACATCACGCCTTTTTGTGTGGGTGTTTTGGTGCTTTAACCCCATGCCCCTTGACAAAAAGATCTGAACCCCCCTCCTCAAAGGGTGAGATGTCGACCGTCGTTTATGGAAGATCCCTCATCAAAATTAGATGTTCATCTCGTTAGATCAAGGGATCAACACAGAGGCGTAGCTACCCCACCCGGCGCCCGGGGACAAATTTTCAATTTGGCGCCCCCCCCCCCCCGACCATATATTTTTACATTTATAATTCAAAACAGCAACTAAAACGACCTTTAATTTTTTTCCAACCCATTTTTGCGTCTCTAGGGTCGGTGCCCGGGGACATATGTACCCCCCGTCTCTACGCCTCGTGATCCACAATTTAGTTACAAATCATGGATACACAAGGCGATGGATTGGGTACATGCTTAGAAAAGTCACTGACCAGACAGGCCTTGGAATGGAACCTTTAGGGCCAAAGACGCAAATGTCATTCCAAGAAGGACTTGGCGACGCCGCGTTCCAGATGAGGTTGAAAGGATATGAAGGAATTGGGAACAGCTGAAAAGAGTGTAAGAAGACCGTGGAAGTGGAAAGCTTTGACAGGGGCAAGATGCGCCGCAAGAAACGAAAAGGAAATAAAAACGACGAAGTGATCGAAGCCTAATGCACTCTTAATTAAGGCCTCTGCCATAGGCCCTGTTACCGAAATCCATGTAATGATCATTTAACCCCCCCCCCCCCCCAAGCATTAATTAATAATTAATTTCTAAAAAGAAAAAGGATTTAAAAAATATGGAAGATTTTTTTTTATCAACGTTAAAATAATAAAAATATTAACAATATCAGTCTTTTCGGATACGCTATATTTAGACTGGCATTTCGGAGTGAAATTACATTTACAAGTTTCCTGGATTACTTGGAAAAGCTGGCTTTACATACCCACATTTTCGGAATTATGTTTTTAGATAGTAATGGAAATTGTTAGATCCTAGATCTAGATTCTATATAAATAGGAATAACATTTTAATGCGTTTCAGCCAATATCTCGATTTCGTATTAATGTGATCTAGATCTACTTGATTTGTGTTTTCTCATCAGATAGGGCTTTTAAGTGACCTACTTTCAATATCTTTTATAGATTAATGATTATTTCCCTTGAGTAGTTAAAGCTAAAACTGGACTTGAGATCTATTTCTATATTTAATTAATAGATTAGATTCTAACAGTATTACACACGCAACACGGCGTAGTTTCAAACTACATTTTTTGTTGATGTAATGAATGCTGACATTATGTCTGTAAGTAAATATTATATGTTTGTTACTAGATCTAGAGTCTAGATCTTATTTAGAATCTAGTAATTTAATGTTAGACTATGACTAGCTAGGCTAGAGTAGATCTAGGCATTCCGACTTCCGCTGTTTCGATTCGGTATTCAACATCCGGACTTTTCGATGCAGTCTTTATAAAAACTCGCCCTTTTCCGAAGAATGCCGAATCTCACTGTTGGAATCGAGTTTTTAGAAATATTCGATATAGATATTCTAGTGTAGTCGTATTATATGTTTCAATTAGAAAATTACCGCCATTATGACAATCTTTAAGCCGAAATCGATCGCACGATTCTAATGAGTTTATCTCGCGAACATGTCCCGTACGGTGCTGTCACATTTTAAATAAGTTTACGTATTAAACCCTTTATAAGTGTCTTGCCATTAGTTGTAAGTGTCCATTAAATAAACAAATATTATTATAATAACGGTTTTATGGCACTTACTACTTCTGCTTACGAGTTATCATACATGTCAAATCCCCGAGCTAGCGCTTCGGCCTTGACAACGCCATGGCGTCGGTTTAGCACCGCATTACCTATTATCGATAAAATACGCGCACTAATGCCAATGACGTAGTTTTCGAAGTTGGAAAGAATTTAAATTGTGGGTGGCACTGTTAAAACTAGATAAAATACGTTGATCAAGTTATCTATTAAAACCGACAGGCAAGAAGCTTAGGCTTACATTAAATAGTGTTAAGCATTTCACACATACCTACTTACTTAGATTTAAGGCTAATACTAATAGCCTTTAATATACTATTATACTTTATACTATAAATAAGTTATAGGCCTATTTCTTAGTATAACTAATGCTATATAGTAACTATATACTATATGTATCGATTGATAAAGTAAGTCTGGGCCTATTATTGGTTATGATAAGTAAAGAAGCTTGGTGATAAACTTATTTAATTATTTGTAATAATTATGCTTATGACATTAGTAAATAATTAACAAAAGGTGCAGCAATTGACATGGGGGGGGGGTACTAATTAATAAGGCAGTGAATTTAGAATGACATGAAAAAGGCATGATAATTATTATTCATAATAATTTAGGATACAATTTTTACATTTAATAATAAAAAGTAACAAAAAACAAATAACAAACAATACGGATTTGAATCACTGCATGTTGCCAATGTATATATTCATATAAGCAGATAGACAGGGAAGCTGTAACTTCTGATTTGGTACAAATTAACACTTAGCTTAATAAACTTTTACAAGAATTTAAGGTTTTTCTATTGATTAGTAATTTAGTTGTACCAAAATATCAATAGGGTCTTATAAAGGCCCTAGTATATTAAAGTAGTTTCCCTTTTGGACCTGTCAATCCATCATCCATAAAGCAGCTGAAGTAGAGTTTATCTGTTTCTTGACCCATGCACATGAAGTGATGGTGTGGTTAGCTCTCTGCCAAGCTATCTTTACTTTCCCTTGGGTCAGGTACTCATCTGAGCTTGGTGGATGCTGCACGCTGCACAGACAGACTCGTCTGAGATCTGAGCTTAAGACTTGCATGTTAGTAGTTGAGTGCTTTAACACACCATCCCTAGTTTTATTTTTCAGCATTCTTCTTATTACATGCTTCAGTATCAATAACCAAAATGTATCCTATCTATTATAGTAACATTCTGGACATACGTCCGTTGCAGTCACTATAATTACTATAAAAGGGTGCAACACCCTTTCATAGGACTTTTTAATTATATGCAGTCATACTTAATATAATTTTTTTCTATATTTCTATTGCCCCCACCCTCTAGCAAAGTTTCAATTTTAATATTAAAAAAAAAAACATAGACTTTCACTGAAAGTTTCAGTCTGCATATTGACCTATATAGAACAGCACCCCTCACTTTAATTTGACTTGATTAGTTCTAATTATCCTTCATCAAATTTTGATTTTACTTTCATATTTCTATTGCCCACACTCTCTAGCACTAATGTGCAAAGTTTTATAATTATATCTCGAATAGCAGCAGTGGTATGCAAGCCTAAAGCCAATCACACAATTAAATCCGATGTTACAGTGATATATAACAGGTTTAATACATAACTTTAAAAATTCATATAAAAAAAACTATTAGGCCTAGAATGATAAATTTGGTATTTTTATCAATGGGGTATATTATAGGATTAATCTGTGTACATTTTATCATTCTATGGTAATTAGGAAAAATATCCCAACATTCCTAGTAGATCTAGATTCTAGATCTAGTGTAGATCTATAAAATAAAAAAATAAAAAATTAATTTAACCAGTAGACCTGAGTAAGAGTAGACTACTATTACTATACTATAGGCCATAGGCCTGGCCTACAATATTATTATACTAGTATAGGCCTATAGTTACATAGTATATAGGGCCTACTATATACAGTACTGAGTACACTTGAGTACGTGTAAAAGGACCCCTATTCCTTTTAATTTATTATATTAGATGTTTTATAAGACTAATTTAGTAATTAGGCCTACTAATTACTAATTTGTCAATCATAAAATCTCAATCTAGCCTAGTTATTTAATTTTAATACTAGGCCTATTTATTTATTTAATACTAGAGCAAATTACATTGTCCGAACACTACATGGGACCGAACACTTCGTCGGTTTTTGGCTCATAGAAACTTTAATTAGCATGTCTCATGCGAAACCACGGCGCCTGCACGTAAACTGTTCATTTATGAACACTTCCGTGTCAAGTACTTCCGTTTCCTCTCTCAAGAATTATTTTTAGAAAATTTTTAACGTTGCATGGTACGCACATTTCTATTTTTACACCAGCCGGATGAAGTGACCTAGGGTTGGACTTAGGGGCAAAACTTGAACCAATCAACGCTTAGCTAAAAGGTTACACTATAAATAGCTTCTATATATGTATGGAACATCGTAAATGTCAAGGTTAATGGGTTATTTTGTGCTTGAACAATAAAAAAGGGGTGTTCGCTAACTTTTTTGACCTTACATGGGACCGGACAGCAACACAAAAATATTATTAAATAAGAATTTAGAGCATAAAAGGGGCTGGTTATTGAAGGGAAAGGGTCAAAATAAGGTCAAGAAGGCAGTGGAATGCGAAAGAGGAGGGGGAATCATGTGACCTGGCTGGCTTAGCAGCGTACTGCGCGAGCCGCAATGGCTGAATGGGATGAACTTTGGGAGTGTGGGAAAAAGGTTTTATACTATTAAAATTACCTCACAAACAATCAATAACACAATATAAATGCATATAATATATGTTTTTATTCATTAAATTGACTTTAAATTATTCTAAATGAACAAAAAGTGCTTTGTCCGATGACGGGTAAAGGTGTCCGAACACATTTGAAATTGTATTACATGTGTTCGAACACACGTTAAGACCCCCCAGTCACTATAACAAGAATAGCTTAAGTTCTATGCGTATGAATACAAAATGACACACACATTATTAAAGTAGAATGATTGCGGATAGATATGATACTTTTTTTTCCTTCCTATGTTAAGCGGTTACTGAATGAGACCGCATGGAAGTTTTAAGTTGCGTTTTTTCGCGGTGTGTGTCCGGACAGTGTAATTTGCTCTAGTTGTCATGGCAAGGCCCTGCACTTGCCTCTGTAAAAAACCTATATGTAAAGGACCATGACATGTGTGTTTAGTAATCAGCATATAGAGTCTACCCGGCATTGCCCGGGTTTAGGAAATATATTACTTTTCAAAATAACCCTAAACAAAACGAACCAAAGCCAAAACACACACACAAAAATCGCAAACATAAAACAAATGCAAACACAAACGAAAACACAAACGCAAAAAAAAAACCTCAAACGCAAAATACAAACAAATGCAAACTCAAATCCAACCACAAACACAAAGAAAACACAAACACAATAAGAAGCAAACAAAAACAAACCCAAACACAAAGAAAACACAAGCGCAAACAAAAAAGTAAACACAAATACAAATAGAAATACAAACGCAAACGTAAACAAATACAATAACTCAAAATAATGCAAATAAACGAAAACATTAACACAAACTTAAATGCAAACATAAACTTAAAGTACTCACAGTCTAGCCCGTGGCGCCAAATCGCACCATGCTGGGACGCCAGCGGAACATATTCAACTTAGTAAATGACCATAGTACCCCAACATATTCATAGTCTTTTGCACTCACATTTACGAACGTAGGCGCCATAGCAAACACGAGAATGCCAATGGTGCCAAATAGCACCCTGTCGGGGTGCCAGAGGACGCCCGGATTCGATTCAGTTAAAGACTACAATAATCTTTCATATCCATAGTATAGTCTATCGCACTGTTTACAATGAAATTATGCACCATAGCGCTTACAGGATAGCCCAGGGCACCTGATTCAATTTAGTGAATGACTATAATACCCCTAGTTTATCCGCAAACGGAAAGATAGAAGTAAACATATAGGACATTTAGGAGCTGGCTTCTTAACTGTTATTGATTTAAAAAAAAAATTAGTAAACAGTACGTTCAGTGTATAAAATAAATAAAAAGCAGTATTTAAAATATCTGTGTTTTGCTTACCACATTTCACTTGATCAATCCACGCTGATTATATAATTATTTTTTTAAAACAACAAAACAAAGTAATAAAAAGTAAATTCCCCCCATGTCATGGTTTTTTTAAAGGGAAGTAATTGTGTTTTTCTAATTTATCAAGGGACGTAATGAGTGCTCAAGGACTAAGAGTAAATAATTTTTGACACAATTAGAATTTTTTTGAAGCGTGATACATTTTCTTTAATTTTGTTTAATGCACATGCAGTTAATTAACACAGTAAGTTTGGAAAATGAAATTTGTTTTGTAACACCTTCAATATTATTTATTTTAACTATTAATTTAGACAATGAGTACTCTAGATAGATCACTGTATGGTGATCAAGTCTATTTTTTTCCTCTATTTCTTTGTAATCTTGGGTTCCTCCTCTTTCCCCCCCCCCCCCCATACAGCATTGAACTTTATATATTAGATTTATTTCTTAAACTATAGGGCTAATGAAGTAGTTAAGTAGATGGAGATGGGGTAATCCATAAATGCATTAAATGACCTCACCCTTCTTATGAAGTTTTTCCCCCACCACCCCTACTTCACACATGGTCACAAAAAGCCAGACTCCCCTTTAAAATGACGTCACACTTCAGTCTACAACCCCCCCCCCCCCCCACCCCCCTTGATTTTTTTTTTCTAAAATATTTAATGATCTCGGTCAACATAGATGGTATTTTAGTCAGTTTCTATTACAATTCATAATGAAACTGTTTTCTAAAACGTGGCTAAAATTCAGTTTCTAACATTACTTTATATATTTTATTGTAGTATTAATTATATACTAGTCATTAGGCATGATTAGCTTATAATGCCTATATTATTTTACTATCAAACTATGTATGCACAGTATTATACAGCTCTACTGGCCTACACATCTTATTTATTATTCATACTAAATAAGGGTATAGCTGTATTAGGGTTCAAAAGTACACCCATTAGTCCAGCCAGCTCTGTTGGTTCCTCTAAAACATGCAATACACGAGAAATACAAAATAGATCACAGTTACAACAGACAATTTAAAAAAAAAATTAGATTTCAATTTTCCATGTATGAATGTAATTTTTGTTTTTATAAAACTTCAAATTGTTATTGTTTTATTAAATTTAAATCATTTGATAATTTGTAGCCTACATGGATCTAATATTAATATAATGACATATTCTAAAAACATATTGGGCCTATATTAATGGACACCAGCGAGTTGACGAGATTCCTTCCGTAATATTGTTGACATGGAATAAAAATGTGCTTTTTTAGATTTAGGACCATAAAACTAATAAAAGATAAAATTTTATTAAAAACTTAAGCCTAAAATTAATTCAGAAATGTAATATTTTTAGAATCAATGCTATACAAGTTGCAGATCCAGAGAACTTGAAAATAATTTGTTGAGTTTAAGGCTACATTTCTATTTATTTTCATCAAGCCTAAGTTATAACCCGATGTTTCACTTTCGTAAGACAAACATTGATTGGCTGTAAAGGAACTCCGTGATCGATTTCTGACAGCCCCACTTTATAGTTATTTTGTTTACAAAACTTTGCAGATCAAATTTTTAAATAACTATGCAAATTTAAACACCATGACCTATTGTTTCTATTTTTAGCTTACAATGTGTACAATAAAATTTATGTCGGCCATTGTTTATGTCGCCATTACACGTGAAAACCAAATTGTTTTTTCTTTTTTTTTAATTTTTATTTAGTTACCGAAAATATTAAAAACATCAAATACATCCAATCTTTAGTAAAGTCCGAAGAAAACCAGACAGACAGGATTTTATAACCATATTAATTGTAACTACGCCGTGCAAGATTTTAAAATGAATTTATACACCTCTCAAATACCTTTGAGACTTTTCTCGCTGGTGTCCATTATCATCTGCCCTTAATAAATGCAAAACCATTGGTATTCTGATAGTATAGAAGAAGTATATATGCCTACTAGGTTTGTTATTTTGTCTTTGCAGTTAATTTTTTACATCTTATTAAACATTCTATTAAATATTAAAATTACCCTTAATTCTAGAAGCCTTCTTTTTTAACCTTGTCATGTGACATTTGGGAAACCTGTTTTTTCCCATTGTTATCAAAGAGCCTATTTTTATTTAATTAAAAAAAAAACAACCTTTATTTCATTTCATATTATTATTGTTTTATTTATTTTATTTTCCTTTGATTCTTCAGTTATATTAGTTCTCATCAGACTGTCAGAAAAGTTACCAAAATAGCTGGTTAGCAGTGTGAAAAATTATTGTTAAGATACTTCACAAAACTTATCTTACAAGAGAGATCAGGGACTGTTGAGTTTTCACTTAACTCTTTTTTATAAAAACTAAAGTTCTACCATGGATCAACCAACAGGAAATGGTTATCATCAATCTATGCAAACACCAACAGACAGGCATATCACTAGAAGCATTTCAGGAGAATCCAACAGATATGCTAAAATGCGCCAGATGCATGGAAAAAGTAGTGCTGATTCAGGTACTGGGGTGTCACTTAGTTGTGACATTGAACCAGAATCAATCTCTAATGGCCAGCATAATTCCAATGCAGCAGACATTGGTGCTAATGAGGCACGACGTCTTCAGTGCAGACAACCCAGTGCTAATGGTCCAGATTCTGGGCTGGCTGAGTCACCAGGTGGAGAGCCAGAAAGGTTTAACTTTCCCCCTGGCAATTATCCATTTAGACACTCTAATAGTGAACCCACCAATCACTGGCCAGGACATAACCACCAGCATGGCATAGGCTCCAGGCAGACAGAACAATCATCCAGATCAGTTGATTTGCCTTGTGCATCAAGCACACTGTTAAAGGAGAGTTTTGAAGGGAGAGTGTGCAGCGGTGACAGTTTTCAGTCCCATTCTACATCTGCTTCGTTAAACAGATTACATCGCCAGAAACCTGTTGATCAATGGGATGAAAGTTTTGATTTGCCTCCTGCACAATTTTCTGTACCAAGCTCCGCCACATCAAGTATGTTTTTGTCCAATGGATCTGTCAGTCACAATTCACCTTGTTTCTCCTTACCATCTCCACCAGCTGTTCCCAAAAGTAGCTTGGATCAAGTGACCATGGAGTTGATCAGAGCCAAGCTAACAATAGAACAGTTAAATGCAGAGAGAGAAATAAAGGAGAAACATCATCAACAACAGGTAAGACCTGTCATTGTGTAATGCATGGAGGTGATTTAATTTTTTTTGCCTCATATGTTTTTAAAAAAATTTGTGTAGTTTTAATTTTTCTACATTTACAGTGTAGATAGTCCCCTCGAAAAAGAATTTTTTAAATAATTTAAGCAGTATTCTGCTAAAGGTTGCTTTGAAACTGTTTAGGATCTTCCTCTAAATGACCTCTAAAAGGTTACTTTAATTAAAAACCCACTGTTCTTAAATTTGTGTTTTTTAAAGACCATTTAAAAATGTTTGTTTTTGATGACTAGGTTAATCGACTTCATGAAGAAAATAAATGTCTGCAGGAAAAGGTCACGCAACTAAAAAAAGAAGTAAGTTTCCAATTGAAAATTTTTTCTATAGAATCTAATAGTGTGCTTAATTTACATATCTTTTTGTTTTCAACTCCCATTGGAACATACTATTTACAACTTAAATGATAGATTGGGGAGGGGGATAATGGATCGCTTATATATGTATGTATATATATATATATATATATATATATATATATATATATATATATATATATATATATATATATATATATATATATATATATATATATATATGTATATTAGACGGCTAGACTGATAGCTCGACTTTGAATCCCGGTTCATGTCAGTAGTATGTCCCTGAGTCTACCCATCTCTGTCTGTTACACAACACATGTTAGGGAATATAAAAACAAACTGTTGGGCATAGTGCTGACCACACTATCCCTTCATATGCCAAGGTCACAGAAAAAAAGGGAACTTTACTTTTTTATTTGTGTATATATATATGTATATATATATATATATATATATATATATATATATATATATATATATATATATATATATATATATATATGTATATATTTATCTATCTATTTATACATACACATACTTTTTTTTTTCCTTTCAATTCAGAATGACGAGCTAAAAAAAGAAAAGGTACATTTATTGTAACTATTATAATTTATTGTTGACAGTTTGTTATAGTTTACCTAAACTTACCAGATAAACTTTCCTATAACATGTAGATATGTCACACATTATGATTCCTTTTTCAATTTCACCACCCCTCCCCTTAACCCAATTATAACAGGCTCCTTAACATTTTTTTTTTTTTTTCCTTTTTCCAGGAAGAAATAGAAAATTGGATGGTAAGTTTTAACCAAGTTTGTAGCATCTTTAAGAGCATTAGTTAATGAAGCAATTAGTGGTAATCATTTATCTAGGAAGAAGTTAACGAGGAGACTTAATTGATTTGGCAATGTTGTTACAGGAAGAAACAAGAGATCTAGACTCTGATTATCAGCAAGAAAGACAGCCACAGCCCCTGATGCACCATTCAGATGATGAAACAGTTCCAAAACAACCAATCAGTCCAGAACAAAATGTGTCGGACACAGAGATGAACATACATCATAAAATATGATGCTGAGATAAACATGCATCATGAAGCTTTTAAAAAAAATTTTTTCAACAAATACCACTTCTGAAATTATCACCATACTAAAGGCAAGCAAAAGATCTATTAATGTATTAATAATTTGAACAAAACACAGCAAGCTATATACACCATAGAACTGTTGATTTTAAGTTTATAATTTACACATATATAGCCTATATATATATATATATATATATATATATATATATATATATATATATATATATATATATATATATATATATATATATATATATATATATATATATATATATATATATATATATATATATATATATAAACTTAAAATATAATTTTTTTTATTTATCAACTTAATTTTAATTTTCAACATAATATCTATTAATTTTCTTAAAAGCTACAACATATTTATTTTATAAAACAAGCTTTTAACAGGCAAGTTCACTTGTATTTTAAAAATGTATAAAAAAGATTGACTGTCTAAAGTAAATTATGTTTCCAGTAATACTTAAAGACAATTAAATTTTGTAGTAATTTTTTATTTCATTTCTCCCATGATGCATCATTTTCTTTTAAGTTTTAAAATAAATGACAAATATGATACAGCTCACTACTGTATGCCTGTAAATATTTGAATATGTATATACTATATTATAATGTGAATATTGTATATATTTTACGTTTTTTTTAAATTTAAAATAATTTTTGTGTGGGCTATGGTAGACTGCTCTAACTTTGACAGAATTACATATTTGGTCAGAAAATAATTAATAAAAAAGTAATTATTGGCCAAAATTATTGGCTAAAATCTATATAATAATTGATACAAATGTATGGGACTATTTCCCTTTTGTAATGGCATGTCTATTTTTAGCAATTTTTGACATGCTTTTTGTCCACAAATTTAGGCCATTTAGCATTAGCTAGTTTTCAGCTGAAATATTGAATTTGCATTTTTTCTACTTTTGTGCTGTGTTTACAATACCCAAATTGTAAGTAATTTAGTTTTAAACATTTTTTAAACTTGAAAAGAGATTATGAGATAGTTAATCTACATATGTACTTTTTTAGTTAGGGTTCTAAAAATAAAATGAATAGCTAAAAGCATATTGGTTGAAGTTAAAACTATGTTCTAAAACATTGTTCTAACATTGACTGAGCTAACCAAAAGTCCACCTTGCCTAGCATTAAGTATAATTTTACCACTAGGCTAGGAATATTAGGCTATTTTTTTTCATAAATGTATTTAAAAACAAACAACATGTACATGTTTTATCAACACGCCTAAAGATTAAAGTGAAAAAGTCTTATGTTTGGTATTGAACTGAAAACTTCAAGCAAGCTGCAGATAGACAGGGCATGTCATATGGCAAGGCAGCATCATGCTTGGCGGAGGGGGGGGGGTCCCTCGAATTGTTATAGACCATGTTAAGGCCACATATAGCAGGGTCTAAGTTGTGAAATGAATTCAGTTTTAGAAAACCAAATAGTTTTGAGGGTCCTTAAGTTTTTTTTTTGTGTAGACATGGTGCTGGCTTCTAGCATTGGAAGGAAACACCACAAGGCATCCGGAAATTCAGACAATATTTAGAAATCGTATTCCAGGATAGGATTGTTGGAGGAAACTAAAAGGGCAGCACCCTGAACTAACCATTTGGAAGCCTAATTCAATTTTGAATGCTAACGCTTATGTTGTGATTAACTGCTTGCCTGGGGAAGCTGTTAACTGATGTTCACCTCACTGTAGATTGGGTTGGGATCCAGTAGCAACACAAGCCAAGAGAAGTGGAAGTTTTTAACTTGTGAGACAGGTTCTCACAGCAACATTGCCATCTTTACCACAATCAATGCTCCTGCCATATCTACCACAACCAATGCTCCTGCCATATCTACCACAATCAGTGCTGCAAGCTGTTTCTTCATTCGAAGTGTGTGATGCACCAAAGGGAGCTGTGTTGACTTATCAGGAGTCTGGGTGGATGGAGGATCTTTCTGGAGTCCAATGGTTCAAACAAGTTTTTCTAAAACATTGTGGCCCAGATCACCCCCAGCTTCTCCTGTTGGATTCACACAGCTCCCATGTTGTTGTGGATCTGCTTGAGGCAGCCAGAGAAGAAAGTATTCATCTATTTGCTTTAACACCCCTACTAAATGTTCATCTATTTGCTTTAAAGCTCCATACCACAAACAAGCTGCAGCAGCTAGACAAATGTGTCTTTGGCCCATTAAAAATATATAATGGTGCAGCATGGTCCTAGTTCCATTCAGCTCACCTGGTGAATGTGGTCAGTAAAGTGACCTGGACAAAGCTGTTCACCACAGCATGGAACCAAGCATTTTGTTCTGGCACCATTAAAATAGCTTTCCAGTCTACTGGTCAACCTTTTGACCCCACAGTAGTCACTAGAAGGGACACTTCCAAGCAAGGCATTTGATTGCCCAGCACCTGCAACACAAGTGTTCGCCAACCATTTACTTGTGCTAGTGGTCACTGAGGTAGTTCTGAAAACTGTCCTATGGTGGCCCAACTCTGACAACCAAAACAAATACACAAGGAAATATTTGATCTACTGGTGCTAGTGAAAGCTTCTTGTATATTTTGCAATTGGCAATGGTTATAAGTGACACTGAAAATATTGGCCAAGCCTGGATAATGTGGACTGCGCTGGATATCAAGGCATAGGGGGAAAAAGTTTATTTGAAATGAAAGAGAGCAAATGTTAGAGAAGAAAAGGCTGAAACAAAGAACAAAAAACCTGATTTTTGTTGTAGTCTCGTTTACAATTTTTTAACGTGTAGTTAGTAATGACATATTAATAATGTTATCATTTATTTGGTTTTACTATTACAATTTTTATTCTGGTAGCTTCTTTTGTTTCTTCCAATTAATGACAAAGGTATTTTAAAACAAAGGTAGGGCTTAGTTCTTTATAGTTTTTGATCATAAGATTAGGCCCTGTCCAATATCAAATAATTTTTTTATAGCATAAAGAGCATAGAATAAAGAACAGTCCAAGTTAGCAAACTGCTGCTTGAAATTAGAGCAACATAATCCTAGTAAAAAACCAAGCAGAATAAAAGAAGATAGAAAAATTTGATGGAGATATTAGTCTAAGTGTGTACACTGGTCATACGTGTCAATCTCACCCTAGACATCCACATATGTTATTGTTTTTTATATGTAGTTTACACCTTATGATTTCCTTGTATGTTATATGTTGCTTTTAATGTTGGATGATTCCGGTGACATGAAATATTTTGGTGTCTTAGGATTGCTCTGGTTTTTAAGTTTACAAAGTGCCAACTGGTAGCCGACTATCAAATGTTTTTTTTTTTTAATTAAAGATATTGGCTGATCAAAAATACATTTTAAACTTTACTTAAACTGTAGAATTTGAAACAAGTCAACTTAGGTTTTATGGAGTTAAAACTGCAAAAACCTTTAAGCTGTAGTGTTTAGCAAGTTTAAATGATGATGAGGTGTGTGCTTCTGTCATAAAATGTAATGTTTTAGTATCTAGCCAAGCCTAACAAACATTTACAAGTGAACTGTCCAAACCAGCAAAGTGAATTACATACAAAGATGTTCTTGATATTCAAATATGTAATTAGAAATTTATTACTTATCAACTATATATACATTTTCTATATAAAATACAAGTATTTTATAAGAAAAATATTTACATTAAGACATTAGGTGCCTTTACAAAAGCGAGTTTATATTATTATGATTGAGATTGAACATAACATATCCATACCTTGTGATACTGTACAGCTACTGAATGTATTTATTTATCTAAAATCTTTTCACTCATGAAATGATCTTGTAAGGTTAGAACATCAACGCTCTGTACGTGTGTCTTTTGTTCAGTAGGTAACTTGAACATTTTCTTCACACCAGGTAAACAATATAATTTTTGCTCCTCTGTATTTACCTTCATTTCTTGTTGTACAAAGTTGGGATAGATCGCTGATTGTGTATGTGCTTGAATTTTAACCAAACATGAGAATTTTCTGTGGGTTTTTTTTAAAGTTATAGGTGCATTTTTAAAGTAGTTTTTATTTTATGGGATATGCCAATTTTTTTGGTCTGATTTAAAAATAAATAAATCGTTAAATTGTGTGAATACTGATGTAATTGATTAAGATGTGAAGGAAAATGTGATGATTAGGATGTGAGTGCTAATGTGATTTACAAAGATGTGTGTGCTAATGTGATTTACAAAGATGTGTGTGCCAATGTGATTTACAAAGATGTGAATGCTAATGTGATTTACAAAGATGTGAATGCTAATGTTATTGATAAAGACATGGATGTAGTACTTTAACAGACATTAAAAGTCCCCTTGTTAAAATACTCTACTCAGTGTATACCCGGTGTGGCCTCTGGCTTTGCTGAAGCCGTGGCCCAAACTTACTTACATTTGATCATGGGTTGCTTTATTTCTGTTTTTACAATTACATTTATTCTCCATGAGGTTGAAAAATGTATTTTCAAAGGTGGTGGCTTTTTTTTTTATAGTTGACATTAAAAAATATTTAATATATGTTTTATTTTACACTTGTTTATATTTCAAGTCATGTTGCAGTTACATAAAATATATCCTGGAAATTGAATGAGTTGTTGCCCCTGTTTTGACAAATGTTAAAAAAAAGTTTATATGTATTTTTAATGAAAATTTTGTGTTTCCATTTTAAATATTGTATTTGTTTCAGCTTTACGTGTAATGCTATTCAGTAATGTAATATTATATCCCTAAATCTGCTGACTCATGCATTCCATCAGAAAACATCTGTCCATTTTTACCAAAGTTTGACTGGCCTTCATAAGATTGTGTTAGATCCTGTCCATACATAGATTGTGTTCATGATGGTATGCTGGTAAACACCATCCACCAGCGTAAGAAATTACCCAGTGTTCCATCATCACTTGGCATGTCTACAGATTGTCATTCTCTGGGTAACTAATAGTGCTGATATTCCGTTTTTATAATATTTTTAACAGCAGCAGTGTACAGTTTTGAGTTAATATTTTTTGTTTTTATTTAATCAAAAGAGTTGTAAAATAATACACTAATAGCTTGGAGGCCAATATTATTACAAAGTTAAAGGGAATTTGTTGTTTCAATTTTTATTTAAACGAACCTCTATTTTTATTTATTTTTTATTTTTTTACC